GTAGAAAGGCTTCAAACATTTCAGCAATAGACTGAGTCTGGTGTCCCTGGACCACTGATGTATGCGATGAAGAGGTTCGTAGCCAGTAAAATCACGTAATCCTTTCGTCATAACTTAATAAATCCTTTTGCATATACTGGGTTGACGGCTCTATGATCTCACCTATGTGGGTGACTCCTTCCAAGAGTACAGAACACGGCCCAACCACACCATTCCATTGTGTGAAATTATCATCTATGCATCAACAAACATTTATTAAGTGCCTGCTATGAGCCAGGCACTGCGTTAGGCTCTGGGGATACGAGGACAAAGAATGAAACAATCCCTCCTTGCAAGAAACTTACATTCTAATGGAAGAGACAACAAGTACAAACAAAAATATATGTAGCTTAAGTTCAAACATATACAAACTAGCGAAACAGAAGGTAGTTTGGCAGAGAAGGGACTAGAATTCAGGGGGGATTAGAGAGGGCTTCATGTAGATGATACTTGACCTGTGCCAATGTCTACGCCCCCTTGTAAGGCCTCCCCAAGGGTCTTGTTCAATGCGCCAGGGGAGCCCTTGCTACCGCACACCTGCCATACTCATGGGCTCTCTGCTGGTTTTCCCTCACTCTCACTCCATGACTGGTTCACCTTCCTTCAGTTGTACATTTCTCTGATATCCTTGACATATATATAGATATAGATATAGATATGGATATAGATGTAGATATAGATATATAGTTATAGATATAGATATAATATATGCAGGGGTGTGCTGGATCAGAAGAGCTAATTGTTAAGTTTTCAGGGTGAGCACTTATACCTCAGAAACTGGCAAACACTGGGCAAATCACTTAACCTTGGTTTCCCCATCTATAAAATGGGGATAATAATAGCACCTACCTTGCACGGTTCTTGTGAGAATCAAGTGAGATAATATTTGTAAAGGGCTTATCAGAGTGCCTGGCACATAGAAGGTAAGATACAAATATGTATTATTACTGTTACCCAAAGTATGAAAGCATATCCTTTGAAGATACGACAGTCCAGACGTGTACTGTCCTGTCAGATCAGCAGCATGGATTAGCAGATAGAGAATGCTGGCCTTGGAGTCAGGAAGACCTGGGCTCAAATGCCACTTCTGACACAAGACGGTTGATTATGAGCAAGTGACTTCACTGTCTACGTGTGAGGCCAATCTCTAAGACTTATCTGATAAGTCCCAGCCTGGTGCATCCTCCCTCCTAGAAATCCCAGAGAGCAGATTTGTACTGATATAGCCTTCCTTCCCACTCCACCCCTGAGGGCAATTATCTCATTCAATTTTGTCTCCCTAACCCAGGGGATTGGAACAATAGGAGGCTCTTAAGAAATACTTGATATATTGAGATAAATAAAATATTTCTCCTTTTCTCAGAAACCAATGGGATTGTTATAAATCAAATAAGAAACATATTAAAGAGCTGTTTCTAGGAAGTGACATTATCAACCGAGGATACCCCAACAAATGTCCCCTCCCAAGTGCCCACAGAGTGAGAGCACTGAGCGCAGTAACTAGAGGCTTTGATGAATGATCAGTAAAGCTACCATAGAGTTAGGAAAGGCTACCCCAGGTCAGTTTTTATTGGGTGATATTCACTCCATCTTCAAAGAGAAAGTAGGAGGCATGTCACTCTTGTCGTGGTTAATAGAGTGCATTCACAACGTAACCACTACAGCCAGAAGGCAGCCTCTGCGTCAGAGTCAAGGTAAAAAGCGAAAGTATGTCAGAAGGAGCAGCATCTCCTTCAGCGTTTCAGAAACTAAAGAGTTCGGCTGCCTTCCGCACAGGTAGGTCGTGCCGGCTGCCCAGCTGCGGAGACCAATGGGCACTGGGTCCCAGAAACGGGGCTGGACTCTTTGGGGCCTTCCCCTATCTCGAATGGAAAGAGTTATGGAATTTTGAAGACAAAGACTCTGTGAGCGCATCAAAGGTCTCATTGGAAAGGCTCCCACACAGAAAATTGTGTGGGCCTTCATTTTTCCACTCTGGAAGGGTGATTGTCTGAGCTAAAAATGGCAGGATGAGCCCATGAGCTCCTCAGCCAGTGATCACAAAGCTGATGCTAGGAGGATTAAGCAGCTCTTCCCCTCCACGCAGGACGAACCTTGTGGTTTAGCCCTGGCAGGTCCAAGATGAGCTTGTACTTTCTGCTAGCCAGAAGAGTAGTCATGGAATCTGCCCTTCAATGCCTTCATTCTCCACAAGTCCTCTTTCATCCCCCCTTCATCCATATCTCCATTTGACGAGCTATGATTCTTGACAAAGGTTTGTAATGGTAACTTTGTATTTATTATAAAAATAATAGTTCACCTTGTATAGGATTTCACAAAGTACTTTCCTTACAATCACCTCCCAAGGTAGGTAGTGCATGTATTAGGAACCCCTTTCCCAATCCCCTTTTACAGATAAGGAAACTGAGACTCAGAGAAGGGATTTGCTCAAGGTCACCTGGCAACATAATAGGAGAACCAAGACTTGGACATAGCTTCTTTGACTCTAAGTCCCATGTCCTTCCCACCAAACTGTATGGCAGATAGATATACAGACAGAGAGATGATAGAGACAGATAGGCAGATAGACAGATGATAGAGACTGATACAGAGAGGCAGATAGATGAATAGAGATGACAAAGACAGGCAGATGGATAGATGATAGAGATGATAGAGAAAGGGTAGAGACAGGCAGATAGAGAGATGATTGGGATAGAGAGGCAGATAGATGATCGAGATGATAGAGGTAGGCAAATAGAGAGATGATAGAGACATAGGCAGATAGACAGAGAGATGATTGAGACTGATAGGCAGATAGAGAGATGATAGAAATGATAGAGAAAGAGGGGCAGATAGATGAATAGAGATGATAGAGACAGGCAGACATGATAGATGATAGATGACAGAGAAAGAGAGGCAGATAGATAGTACAGACAGATAGGTAGAGAGACAGAGAGATGATTAAGATAGAAAGGCAGATAGATGATTGAGATGATAGAGACAGGCAGATGATTGAGATGATAGAGATATAGGCAGATAGATGAGACAGATTTAAATAAAAGAGCTCAATAGTATTACTGATTAGGCAGCTGGCACAATTAAGTAAAAGACCTAGACTTGAAATCAAGACCTAAATTCTAATCCTGCCTGAGACATTTTCTAGCTGTGTGACTCTGGGCAAGTCATAACCTATATCAGCCTCAGTTTCCTTATCTGTAAAATGTGGGTTGAAAATAGCACCAACCTCAGAGGGTTGTTGGGAGGATCAAATGACTTTACATATGTAAAGCGTTTTGTAAATCTCAAAGAGTTAGCTATTGTTACCTCTCACCCCAACTTAAATTACTCTCTGGTCATATGGCTCAGGCTCCGAGAGGCATTTTTTTCTTTTGTGCTACATAAGCTACTGCGGTAGCTAGAATACCCTTCCGTGAGCATCTCATGAGAATACTATCCTTTGCAGTACCCACTTCACTGAGCTTTAGTGAGAAAGGGCTTTGTATAATATAAAGTACCTTATAAATCACACAAATGTGAACGATGAGCACAGTAATGAATTCTGGCAAGAAAAAAAAAGAAAAAACTTGACGAGACCCTACTGTATGGAAATGGCCCTAACTCCTACAGTGGCATTAAAGAGGACTCCCCAGGGAAGAGCCCCCTCTATCAATGCTGCTCGATCTGAGCCTTTTGTTCAACTGAATAATCCTAAAGCACCTAGAATAGAGGGGTCAAACATAACACTCCGGTGTAGTTCGAACAAATTTAAAATGTATTTGGGAAATATTTAACAAAATAAAGGAAAATATAATAAAACCTAGATAACATTACGTTTTAAAACTAAGTCAATATGGGACCCGCAGGGCTCCTTGTGCCAGCTCTTGTTCTGTCATTTTTCAGTTGTGTCCAACTCTTCATGCTCCTTTTGAGGTTTTCCTGGCAGAGATACCGGGGTGGTTTGCCATTTCCTTCTCCAGCAACTTTTACAGATGAGGAAACTGAGACCACCAGGGTGAAGTGACTAGCCTAGGGTCACACCGCTAGCATGTGTCTGAGGCTGGATTCGAACTCAGGTCTTCCTGACTCCAGGCCCAGCACTCTGTCCACTGCGCCACTTAGCTTCCCTTGTGTGGATTAATGACCTCCATTTCTATCTGAGTTTGATACTTTACACCTAGAACCCAAGAACACACAGCTGGTATGCATCAGATCATCTATGTCTAGGTGGGAGCTGACCCAGATGACCTCTGAGGCACCTTTCAGCTATGAGCCTATCTTACCTAAACAGAGTTTCTACATATTTACAATGAGTAGAATTTAAGAAAGCATGCTCTTCAATTAACTGGCTTAACTGAATCACATTTATATGATGCTTAGCCTATAGACTGAAATATCACGATTTCCCCGGCTGACTGTGTAAAACAAGTAATTTCTGCTCACATCACTTTGTAGGCATTAGCTCAGTCTTTGTAGGAGAAGAAAGGCAAAACCACCCTGAAACAGGAAACCAATATTCTTCCTGTTTAATCAACAAATCTAAAATTCTATTTTGTTTATCTGTTTATATTTCTCCCCCTGCACATGTCCACTGAAAGGTGCTGCTTGATATGGTTTTGTGACAAAGAGAAACTTTTCATGAGCAACCTCTGTAACCCCTTTAACGAAAGAAGAGGAAAAATTGGTTCATGCAGAAAACTTCAAATGCAGCTAAGTAGCCCACTTAGTGTGGGCTACAGTAACCAAGAGGGATTTCACCGCATCCATTCAGTCAGTGCTTACGAGGGTTAAAAGAAATTCCAAAGAGTCATCAGAAGAGGAAAATGAAAGGTGATGATTCTTGCCACACAGGTAAAGAAAGGCCTTTGAAAATGTGTAATATGTAAAATTCTTTAACACCCCCAGGATCCTTTTTCCAGAATTAACGATATAAATTGTCCCTCTGGTTGACGGGCTTCCATTCAACTCTCTAATCACTACGCAGAGTAACCTGAAGTTACTCAGCTCCAGACAGGATGAACAAGGTCCCGCTCTTGTCCTGCATTGCACTAACTCTTTTTCTGCTTGCCAATGGGGCTCCGACATTGCCTCCTCCCCCGACCGTGCTGCAGTACTTACTACGTGACTTAATCAAGGTCCAAGACAAACTTCAAGTAAGTATCTCACTGTTTTTTAAGACCTAAAAATATTGTACTGAATTCACTCTCATGGGATGTTCATTTTATTAATGACATTTTTACTTCCTTAGAACGTATCAGAAAGGATGAAGAAATATGAACTCCACATCCCAAGTAATGTAAGTAACATTTTCCATACTAAATTTTGGAGATTTTCAATTTAAGACAATTAGGAAGTAGAATTTTTTGCAAGGCTATTATCTGATGACTTTAGTATCCAATATTTAAGTCAGCTCCAGGGGAATGTGTTAAAAAAAATTATCCTGTGCTTTCTAGGTACAAAATAATCAAATTAGAGTTACATGTATTTGGGTGGACAGATAACAATTATCTATATCCTTCTCCCACCCCACATAAACTGAAAAAGAAAACAAGAGAGAACATCTACTTTTCTTTTGGAGCAGTGTTTTGTTTTCTATTAGATAACTATGTTGTTTTAGATTACATAAATGCTTAAAAACGTGTTTTCAAACTGGAATCAGTATTGATTATAGCACTGTATTGGACCCAAGGGTCAAATGAGATCAGATGTGTTAAGTGTGTGGAAAACTTTAAAGTCCTGGATAAGCATCAGCTGTTATCATTATTACTCAGGGGTGGCCAGGTGTAGTCAACACCATACCCCCCCCCCCCACACACACACAACAGGAGTCAGGAACATAGAATCAAATCAGCCTCCAACACACTCAGGTTGTGTAACTCTAGGCCAATCATACTTCAGAGAAGATTGCTGATCTGTATTAGCGGAAGGGGTTTCCTTCAGTGTGGTGTTACCCACACCAATGAAATGACAGACTTTCAGATCTCTACCAATCTATCTGTATACATACATACTCATAGATAATCATTTTATCACATAAATGGCAAAGCTTAACAGTGAACTTTAAACATAGAAACCGGCCAGATTCTCATTCTGTGTGGGGACAGCAAATGTTCTTGAGAACTCCCAGGTAAGGGTTCTCTCTCCGCTGATTTGGATAGGCACTTTTTCTAAGCCTCTAGTCCTAGAGAGCTACCCAGAGCAAGGAGGGTCCTCCGCCAATGGCACACGCCTGGGTGTGGTAGACACACCAAACTCTTTCATTAAAGAAGGAGGTGGTATCTGGTAAGCTAACAGCAGAGAGCAGGTTTGTTAAGAATTTGTCCTTCTAAGGTTTAAGATGCCGCACGATTTCTAAGTCTCAAAGTTTCATTTTGCTGGGCCCAGGTCTAGTTGGTTAGCAGTAGTCCATGGGTGGGGTCATCCTACAACTGGAAGGAAGGGAAGGGCTGAGCCTGGGAGCTAATTTTTTACCTGGAAACAGGGCTTACCCCAGTATGAACCCCATATCCAGAAGCATGCAGTCTGCTTTGCAGCCCATCCCAATCCTGCTTCTAGGGACTCCCCTCAGGGCACACACCCCCCCCACACCCCCCCCAGGTCACTCCTAGGAAAGCTGACCTGGGGAGAGCTCTGAGGCAGTACTAGAATTTCATTCAATTTAAAAATGCTTATTAAGTGTAAATGATATGCAAGACCCCAGGGATAAAAAAGAAAAAGCAAGGTGTTGACCTCCTTGGAGGAGCAGACATTCTACAGGGGATGTCACACAGAGGAGGGAGAGCCCGAACTAACAGCTGGATGGAGAAAAGCTGGACCACTACTAATGATAATAACAAAAACAGCAGCAGCATTTCTATAAGGTTTACAATGAGCTGTGCCAGAAGCTCTTAACTTGGGGTCCATGAACCCCACCCAAGGAGTCTATGGATAGATTTCAGATGATCCCTGAATTTAGATGGAAAAAATTTACATTTTAATCTCTTACTGAAAGTTAGCATTTCCTTCCATTATTAAAAACATGATTCCAAGGAGGGGTTCCATAGGCTTTACCAGATGGCCAAAGGAATCCAGGATTTAAACAAAGTTAAGAAATCTTGTGTTCATTTTCTTTACCCCCTGCCCCATATCTGTCTCCATATATACACACATTTATACATGGAGAGGTAGATGTGCTTATATGTATGTATATGTACATACATACGTCTCTATATATGTGTATGTGTGTATACACACACACACATAAATATATATAATCTCATTTGATTCTCACAGCTGTGTGAGGTGGGTGTCATTATTATTCTTACAGTTGATAATAACGAGGCTGGGAGAGATTAAGGGACCTGCCCAGAGTCACACAACTAGAAAGAATCAGAGATAGGGTTGGAACATGGCGGGGTTCCAAAGCCTGCCCTGAAGCCAATAGGTGACCTAGCTATCTCTGCCGATACCTGAGTCAAACCCTGAGTGAAGCTAAATAGGAGAGGCAGAAATGAAGAAGGAGATGAAGGCCGTCTCTGCTAAAGCACAGAGCTGGGGAAAGAGGGGAAAGCCATGTTCAGGGAACTAACTGCCCGGGGTCCAGTTTGACCTGAACATAGGCTGCATGAAAGGGTGTAATACGGCCTCAGTCTGAAAAGGTCAATTGGAATCAAACTACAGAGAGTGTAGAAAGCTCCTCTGAGCTAAAGGTTTTAGAAAGGCTTCAAAGCATTTCATTAAAAAGTGAGATCATTTTAACATAGAGTGCATTGGACTGTCAGGAAGACCTGGGTTCCAATCCTGCCTCTTATTCTAACTAGCATGATGGGTCCCTGGGCAGGTCAATCAACCTGTTTCAGTTTGTTTTCCCATCTTTTTTTTTAAATCAATTTATATGATTGTGACATGAATATTCTACATTCTAAGTCCTGAGTATTTGAATGATAACATTTTTCCTCCATTCTTTTTTTGGGGGGGTGGGGGGCGCATGAAGCAATTGGAATTAAATGACTTGCCCAGAGTCACACAGCTAGTAAGTGTTATGTGTCTGAGGCCGAATTTGAACTCAGGTGTTCCTGACTCCAGGGCCGGTGCTCTGTCCAACTGCACCATCTAGCTGCCCCTGTTTTCCCACCTTTAAAAAGGAAATAGTAATCGCACCTCCCTCACAAGTCATGAAGGTCAAATGCAACAATGTAGGTAAACCACTTTATAAATATTAGCTTTTATTATTATTATTGTTGTTGTTGTTGCCTTCCCATAAAAGAAAGAACAACCAACCTAGCAGTCAGAAGATTGGGGTTCTAGTCTCATCTCTGATGTTAACTATATTTGTGACCTTTATTTAATCAGTTACTTAAGCTCTCTAAATTAATCTCCTCATTTAGAGAGAGACAGAAAGAGACAGACCAGAGAGATGGAGAGAGAGAGAGAGAGAGGAAGAGAGACAGAGAGATAGAGAGAGACAGAGAACAACCCTTGTCCAATTCACAGTTGCTGTCTGGAACTAGATATAGATTTAGAGCAATACATAGATATGTAGACAAATGAAATGCTAGTATATACATATGTACATGTGTGTATGCTAGCACTTACATAATGCTTTAAGCTTTGCAAAACAATTTCCAAATATCATTACAGTTTTTACCCTCACAACAAACCTGACAGGCAGATGCTAGTATTATCCTCATTCTACAGATGAGGAAACTGAGGCAGACACAGGTTAAGTGACTTGCCCAAGGTCACACAATTAATAAGTGTCTGAGGTTGGATTTTAATTCAGGTCTTCCTGACTTCAACACTCTATCCACTGTGCCACCTAAAAGCCTCTTATGTGTGAAAGTGCTTTGTAAACTACAAGGCACTATGTAAATGTGAGATTATTAGTGTTAACAGAAAGCTGAATGCAAGGTTTAAAGCAAGTAAGTTATTTCAGAATCTTTCACATATATTGCATTTTTGAGGGTGGCTGGAGAAAAATGTAGCAATAAAAACAAAGAAACAAATATTTAACACTTGATTATGTGTGACATGACCATAGTTATATATAAAACTGCAAACAAAACCAGTCTAATTCCTATACTACAATCAATCTTCAAGGTTTGGAAGGGAGAAAACCTGCCCTACCCTGCTCCTCTGCAGAGGGGATGAGGATAATTCTCCATACTACAGCTTTTCCCTCCCTGGGCTTACAGAATCTCAACTTGTGATGTACGAGTTTAAAAAAAAAAAAAAGTTAGGAAAATGACTCTTATTCTTTTGACTCCAGACCAGCAGCATGGCAGATCTGCAGTGTTTCACTAAAGAACTGACCCCCGTGGCTGGCGCATTGAAATATGAATCAAAAGCTCAGACTATTCAGGAATACATCAACAACATTAATGAGACAGTTAACAGCTTAACGGTAAGGACATTATTATGATTTTTTATTTCTTGGAAACTTAATACAAGAGAAAAGATACTATATCCTAAAGAACCAGAAGATTAAACAACAGTCTAGACTAGTGCTATGATACAGGATTAAGAGGTATTCACACTTTTGGTGTTTTGGGACATACTACCTATGCATTTGACTATCATACTCATGTTTAAAATTAACCACTTAATGTCACTTTTTTAACAAGAGATCTTCGAAGCGACATTACATTTGGGGCATTCAGGTTCTGGTTGATGGGCTCGAAGTAAAGTATAAAACATAGGGTCCCCTCCCACACATCATATTGGGGAACTCTCAATGGTCTGCTGAGTTCTAACCAGCTTTAACTCCTACACCAACAGTAACACCATCCTGAGCATTATGAAGAATACAGGCCAATTTCATTATCTACCATAAGGAAGGTCAAGGATCATTTTTGTCTATCGTTCAGTCATTTCAGACTCTCCCTGACCCCATTTGGGGGTCATTTTTCTTGGCAAAGATACTGGAGAGATTTGCCATTTCCTTCTCCAGCTCACTTTACAGATGAGGAAACTAAGGCAAACAGGGTTAAGTGACTTGCCCAGGGTCACACAGTTAGTAAGTGTCTGAGGCTGTATTTGAATCCAGGAAATTGTTTTCCTGACTCCAGGCCCAGCACTTTATCTATGGCACCACCTAACTGCCCCTAGTCAGGGATAATCCAGCTCAAAAATGAGAATTTAGGGAAAATAGACAAATTTAATCATACTCAACAGTTTAAATCTTTTCCACCCAAAACTATTTATCAGAGACTGACATTAGCTCTCTTACAGTTGCACCGAAGTTGCCCAACAAAGAATCCAAGTCACCTACAGACCATATAAATATGGTTTCAATATAAGTTCTTTTCCCAATAATACTTCCAGGATCCAAAGGTCCTTTACACAAACAGGAAGCATGATTTAGTAGAGAACCCAGGGATCTATGCTCGGCCCTGGGCTATTTAATATTTTTATCACTGACTTGAATAAAAGCATAGATGCTATGCTCATTAAATGATACAAAGGCAGGAAGGACAGTTAACCACTAGATGTTAGAATTATAATCTAAAAAGATTTCAATGCCAACTCACTGGGCCAAACCTAATAAAATTTAATTCAGTATGGATGAGTATATAATGGTATGGTATATAATTAAATAGCAATTAGTCTGAAAAAAAAAAGATCCAGTGGGTTTATTGGACCACAATCTTAAATTCTATCTACTAAGTTCCAAGTTCTATTATGTTCTATCCACTTTATGATTACATCACTTTTGGTTCCTCTAAGGCAGTGTTCCTAGCTTAGTAACTGGCTATAACTGCAGGCGTAAAAATCTTTCCCTCACACTCCTCTGTGGACCAAAGTGTTTTCCTTTGTATCTTGGCAGCTAACTCTATTGCAGGAACAAAGTCTTTCTTTCGAGCAAAGCAGGCAGTACAGAATGTCTTCCAGAGGTCAGGAATTCTAGGGATTGTGTTGGGCTACTGGATGAGGGAGCAGCAGTACAGAAGCAGTTAAGCGCTGTCTCTCCTTGCCCTCAAATCCACCCTAAATCAAAAGGTTAGGCTTTTGCTGGGTGGCCTGCCACTGTAACTCCAGGGAAACCGATAGAGTAAGATTGAACACACGTGTGTGTGTGCGTGCGTGTGTGTGCGTACGCATGCATACAGAATGAGAGAGATAAAATACAGGTTTGGGAACAGAGCAAGATTTGTCTAGGACCATGATTTTAAAGTTAGTTTATTTCATAAGTTTTAAAAGACTATTTTCATACTTAACATAATATGGAGGGGATAGCATGGAGCTTCTGATAAAATAACTCTGACACAATTTAAGATAAATTGACGTGTTGTAGGCCCGGTGTTGGTCTGTCTGTGGGTCTTCTGTCCACTGTCATTTGGACAGATTCCTCGCCAGGTCAGCTGCAAGGGGATGAATGGGGAAGGGAGGAATTTTAATTCTCAAAGACTGTATATTGCGTTGGAAGGGGTTGTGATAACCTTCAGGAGAAAGCATGTGCACACCACAAAAGCCACAGAGGCTTAAGTTCTTGAAATAAGAATCTCAGTGTTTGAAAAGAAACAGTTCTGGATTGGGAAGGGTCTGCTCTCCCTAATGAGAAGCCCATTTAAAGGCATTTCCTTTTTTTTTTTGTTTTAGGGAACAGAAACAACACAGTGTCACTACGCCACCAAGATGAAGATCGAAGGATTTTTTAAAGAATTTGTTTCGTTCTCCCAAAAACTCAGAGCATTAACTCAATGATTACTTACCTAATTGTCTAGGTGAAGTTATTTATTTAAATATTTAAATTTTATAATTTATTTCTGAATGTGTGGTTTACTATCTTTTACTGCCATTGGCCTTAGTTGTCAGAGAATGAACACAACAGATCTTATGATCCTAACCGTAAGCCCTACGGGCTTGAAAACTACTTTAAGTTATCATCTCAAAAATTATTTATTAAATTATAACTTGTTCAATGTAATGTCTGTGTAGGTCAGTAAAGTTATTTAATAAATTTGATGATGGATAACAAGTCTGGTTACTTTGTGTATTTGTCTCGTACACACAGAAGGCGCTCGGATATTCCTTGACTTTTTAAAAAATTAACTTTTTAAATAAAACATGGATCCGTTTCACTTTCCACCAGTTGGGTATGTTTGGGATAAGGAAGTGGGTTTTCTTCTCAGGATCTTGGCAATGAAAGGCAGTAAAGACACAGGACAATAACTTGAGGGAACAGCAATGATAAATGAAGGTTACAGGGAGAAGAGACCTAGGCATGTTTGCAAGCATCTGGGAAGGAACCAGCACAGAGGGAAAGTCTAAAGTTGGGATAAGAAGTGGGGGAAGGAAATGGAATGATTGATGGGACATACATCTAAAGCAGGGGTTCTTAACCTAGGGTCCATGAACTTGTTTGAAAAACATTTTTATATCTGTATTTCAATAGAATCGGTTTTATTTGTAACTCTATATATTTATTTTAACCATTTAAAAACACGATTTTGAGAAGCTCACTGGCTTCACCTGATTGCTAATGGGGTTCATGACACAAAAATGGTTAACAATCCTTGACAGAGGGAAAAAGATGGTGTGGAATTTAGAGCACAAATTGAGAGGGTGGCCTTCAGAAAGAAGAGATTCCTCACCTTATGAGACAGAAGAGGAGAAACCAGTCAACAGAAGCAATATGGTTGAGCAGATAAAAGTACTGGACTTGAAACCAGGAAGACCAAATCCCACCTCAAACACTTCATGCCTACATGACCATCTCTAAAATGAGGCGGTTAGACTCCATGACTGCGAGGGTCCCTAATCCTAAAAAGATGCAGAGAGGAATTACTGTATGGGAGGGGAGAGTTCATGATTCGAGGAGGAGGCAAGGTCCTCAGTTGTTCTAGGCGTGGGCTGGGATAGAGCTGGGGACCTGAGAGGAGATAAGGGCATTGAGATGCTCCTGAAGGGTGCTGGAGAGTCAGTTAGGGAAGACTAAAAACCTTGCAGCAATACACACCAGCTGAAATAACAGGAATGTATAGAGGATGCCTGTAATCCTGCCGGCTAAAATGAGGGGATGTTTGGAGATCTCTCATCCTCCTCTGCCAGTTGTCATTCTGCAAACCAAATCTCAGCTATTTTGTAAGTGAGGGTTCTTAACCTTCCTATGTCATGGACCCTTTTCTTTGGCAGTCTGGTGAAACTGATGGGCCTCTTCTCAGAATCATATTTTTAAATCCATAAAATAAAATACATAGGATTACAAAAGAAACCAGTAATATTAAAAGACAGTTATCAAAATGCTTTAGAACCAAGTTCATGCAATCCAAGATAAGAACTATTGCCTGGGGCCCTGGCCCAACACAGAGTGCTTAGATGGTAAGATGGCCAAGGAGAATGGCAGTATGTTATAGGAACCCACATGCTTGGACTGGCTGGAGAGAGTGGGTTAGGGAAGTATGCCCTCCTTCATTATAATCCACACAGCTCAGCCTAGGTAGGGCAGGAATGGCAGCCCACAGACCCGCTGTGAGGACCAAACGAGATGGACATGAAAACGTTCTGAAAAGGGGCCAACAACTGTAAGGCACTATAAACAAATGAAAAGGTCTTACTTCAAAAATTATCTTTCTATCATTTTAGAAAGTTCAACCAAATACTGAATCTCCATAATTCAACTATGCAATGTGCTTGTTTTCATTATTTCTAGAGATACAAGAGCATAATTGACTGAAAACTGGGGAAATGTTTTCCCTGTAGTTTCTTCTTGCCCATCTCCCTTGACATCCTATCTTGCCTCAGTCTTTAGAAGCTACTGCTGGCTCTACCCACCCAGAGAGACCATAACTCTGGCAAAAAAAAAAAGAAAAGAAAAGAAAAAGGTCTGGATCCAAAGCTAAAGTCAATTAGAGCTGTGACTTTAAAAATCCTCTCACCAAATACTGACATAACATAAGTGTTCTTTCACTGAAAGACTGTATTATTAGGAAAATTTCAAGCCAGGTCTTCATCTTCTTTCTCCATTAATGCATCGTCCTGGTCAAATTCCAGCACCATCCTATGCATGCCACTACCACGGTTATTTTCTCAACCCACACTTTCAATTTGGTCATCTTGTTCCTTATCTTCTTTAGAAAGCAAGTGTGTTCAGATCAAGTATTAAAACCCTCACTCTGTTTTTTAGGCAGGAGCTAGAGTGTGGGAAGAAATAGATAAAATCAAATATTCCCAAGTCAACCTGTTTCAAGCCTCCCTTAGATATTCATCGATTCTAAGTACTCTGTGCCAATCCTTATCACCTTTACCTCACACTCAACACCTGCCTGGAGTATGAGATGGCAAACCACTCCAGCATCTTTGCCAAGATAACCTCAACTGGCGTCACGACCGAAGATGACTAAACAAGGACTGTGATCTACTGGGTTTACGCCTCTGCCTTCCCTTACATAACCCTATTCTTCATCTCTATCATAACCACCATAAGCCCGCAGAGCTCCTGCAGGCTGTCTCCCCAGCACTAGCCACTCTCTTCCCTCTTCCCCATCTTGGCCCCTTGGTGAACCAATTCAGCTCCACACCGGCCTCCTCTCTTGACCTCCAGAATCTCCAGCCCCCTCACATCATTGATATCTTCCTTCTATACACCCAGCCAGTCTCAGCCTTGGTCACTGCCCTCGTTCAACACCTTTGTGCCCACACACACGCTGCTGAATGAAGATGGAGAAAACCAAACAACCATTCCAGCTGGGTCTACTACATATCTGTGCTACACAACCTCAACTGGGCCCTCACTGCAGCCAGGCAATCCTCCGACGCCCCTCTTATCAGCTCCCTCTCCTGCCCTCCAGAGGGGCTCTTCTGAACTTCAGTCAGATGCTTCTCTTGCATTCTCCTCCTTCACCACTGTCTCACGTGGTGAGGTAGCTTTACTCCTTAGCAAGGCTAACCCCTCCTGTTTAAGTGGTCCCCGTCCATCCTGTCCCCTCCAACAGATCACCCCTTTATCATTCCTATTCTGAGAGATTTTCAATCTCTTCCTTTCTATTGGCTACCTCCCTGCTGCCCACAAACATGCCCATGTCTCCCCTATTCTGGAAAAAAATCCCTCACTGTCATACTCTGTCTCTCCTGCCCTTTTAGCTAAACTCCTGGAAAAAGCCACCTACAACAGGTGCCTCCACTTTCTCTCCTCTCGCTTTCTTATCAGCCCCTTACAATCTGGCTTCTCCTCCCATCATTTCATTCTCTAAAGTTACCAGTGATCTCTTAGTTGCCAAACCCAATGACCTTTTCTCAGTCCTCCTTCTCCTTGACCTCTCTGCAGCCTCTGATGCTACTGAACACTCTCTCCATCCTGATACTCTCTCCCATTTCTCCTCCTACCTCTCTGACCACTCCTCTTCTGTCTCTTTACTGGATCCTCATTCCTCTCTTCTCCCTCTATAATGCTTCACTTGATGATCTCATCAACGCCTGTGAACTTCATGACCATCTCTGTGCTGATCATTCTCAAATCTACCTTTCCTACTCCCATCTCTCTTCTGACCTCTAATCTCATATGTTCAACTACAAAATGGATCTCCAATGGGATGTTCAATAGACATCTTAAGTTCAACATGTCCAAAACTGAACACATTATCTTTCTCCCTAACCGTGCCCATCTCCTACCTTCCCTATTAGTATGAAGGGCAGCACCATCCTCTCAGTGTCCCTCAGCCTCACACCCTAGGTGCTGTCCTAGACTCCTCACCATCTCTCACACCCCATGTCCAAACTGTTGCCAGTCTGTCAAGTTCACCTTTGCAACACCTCTCCAATAAGTCCCCTCCTCTCCTCTGACACTGCCCCCACCTGGACCACTGCAACACCTTGCTAATCGGTCTACCTGCCATGAATCTCTCTCCATCCTCCGTTCAGCCACTAAAGTGATTTTCTTACAGTCCAACCATGTCACTCTTATTGAATGAACTCCAGTGGCTCCCATTGACTCTAGGATCAAATACAAAATGCTCTGTTTGGCATCCAAAGCCCTTTATAACCTGGTCCCTTCTACTTTCCAGTCTCTTTACACCTTACTTCCCAAAGCATACTCTTTGATGCAGTGACACAGGCTCCCTGAATGTTTCATGAACAACACACTCCATCTTTCAGCTTAGGGCATTTTATCTGGCTGTCCTCCATACCTGGAACACTCTCTCTCTCCTCCACTCTGACTACTGACCTCTCTGCCTTCCTTTAAGTCCTGACAAAAATCCAATTTTCTACAAGAAGTCTTCCCTAACCTCCTTAATTCTAGTGCCTTCCCTCTGTTAATTATTTCCTATTTATCCTATATAAAGCTGCTTTGTATATATTTGTCTGCATGTTGTCTCCCTCATTAGATTGTAAGCTCCCTAAGGGTCTCTTGTCCCTCTTTGTATCCCCTGTGCTTAGGACAGGGCCTGGGTCAGAATAGTCCCTTAATAAATACTGATTGATTGATTGATTTCCCTTTCACTGTCATGCCAATTTTTGGCCTCTGTCAGTGTCCTTGTCTCTAAGACCTCCCTACCACATGCTAACTTGCTCTGATCTGGGAAGCAAGAAAACTTAACCTATAACAGACTCAGGATCTCAGCTATATTTGATAACTTGGACAATGGCCAGAAGTTGCATATTCAGATAAAAATTAACTGCCAACATTTCCCAAGCATTTCCCCCATTAGAACAAAAGGCCCCTTCCCTATCTCCACTTCTTGTTTTCTAGGTGTTCTAAAAAAAAG